GTTTAATTCAATAAAGTGTTTTAACTTATTGGCTAAAAAGGAAAAAAATAAAAAAATCAGTGAAGAGTCAAATATTGTGATTCCAATGGTAAGATAACAAACTCGTTAAGTTTTCCATGGCGGTGGTCACACAAATTTAAAACAATGAGCAATGATTCACATCATGCAATTCTAATGAAATTGTCATCAATCGTATGGGCAAATGACAGTTTTTTGCACTCTTAATTGCATATATAAAATTCAATATTTAACATAAAAAAATGATTCTAAAAAAAAAATTCTTGATATTCCTTTCCTTCCCAACCTCTCATCTTCGGTAGTTACATTCCTTTACTCTTAAAAAAAAAAAAAAGGAAAGAAAAGAAAAAGTAGGGTAATAACCTACTCATTCATTCAACTTTAATTGTTCTAATTTGAATTTTTTAGTTTTTCACAGATTAATTTCGTGTAGAAATTTAATCAAAACATATCACTCATAAATGAAAATTTTCTTACTCATAAATGAAAATTTTCTTTCTCATATACGTAGTTATTATTGAGTAGTTTCATTTAATGAAAAAAATTTTTAGTTGCTTTTATATAATATGTTAAATTTTATAGAAAAAACTCTAGCTGTCCCTTCCTTTCTCTTGCACCCTCCCTTCGTTCGCCCTGAATTTCTCCATTTTTTCTAGTTTCCTTGTTCCCCCTAGCTGCCTTTCTTCCCTTTGGTGGTTAGGGTGGATAGCTAAAGAAGGGCATTCTTTCTTTTCTTCTGAGGATTTTCCTATCTTTTGCAAAGGTTTTCTCCCCTTTTTTTTTTTTTTTTTATTGAGAGTTTTTGTCTTTGCTTTCTCGATAACTTTTATTGAGATTTGCTCTTGTTAGAGAAAAATGGCAACTTGAACATGATGTTAGTTAGGCTTAAATCATTTACTATGCTTGATTTAGTTGTTGTAGGCATGCTTGGAACAAGGTCTCTAGCTAAATTTTTATGCCTTGAGAACCAATTTATCTTTTTGCCTAGATAGATGTTGGAATGTGGATTAACTACTCAATCTTGAGGTTGGGCCTGGATAATGTTCATGTAAATATTATATTATTCGATTTTGCATTTTCATGAATTTTATTAGTGTAATTCTCTAGCGTATTACCATATTTGGGTCAGTTTATAACCCTTATAGTTTTTTTATATCGATAAAATTCTATTTTTCATACTCACTCTCTTAATTTTTAGTAAACCTAATTTTTAATTTAGAATTTATTTTTATTTTATCCTTACTTTAAAAAGATAATTGCAACATATATTAAATAAGATGAATTATTTAAATAGTAATTAATAAATGATAAATATGAAATTTTATTAATTTCTCTCTCTATCCCAAAATAACGATAACTTTTTATTTTGCATTTGTCTCAAATTAATTTTTATTTTTTTATTTTTTAAGATAAATATTTTTTTACTCTAACTATATCGTTATCTATTTATTTTAATTATTCATCATATTAAAAAAATTAAAGTCTCATTATCATTTATTTTTTTCTGAAAAATAATATAAGTAAACACATAATTTGTCATCAAATTTTTAATTTAGAGAAAAAATTTAAAAAAAGGGTTATTTTGAGACATTGAGAATAATTATTTCATCTTTATTTTTTTAACAACAAGTAACCATGCTAAAATTAAACAAAGTGGTAAAAAAATGATTATGTATATGTTGAACTTTTATTCTAAATATATATTTAAAAAGCCAAAAGTCGAACTCAACCAACCACTAAACTTGAACGAAAGTTGTAAGGTAAAACCTCACATTAAGCTATTAAATTGACCTTATATTTCAATTGAGCCATAGACTTTTTTTTTTTAAAGTAGATAATTCCCTAAATCCCAATATCAAATTACACTCTTTTATGTCTTCCTTTGTCTATAACTATTGACCTTATAATTTAAATTAAGCCATAGACTTTTTTTTAAAGTATATAATCCCCTAAATCCCAATATCTATGCAATTTTGCACTCTTCTATATATTTCTTTGTTGTAACTTTGCAGTCTACCGTTAAGAAGATGACAAAATTACACAAATTATGAGGTTTTGGGGCTTATCTATTTTAAAAAAAAGTATAAGGGCTCAATTAAAAATATGGAGTCAATTCAAGGGCTTAACATGAGATTTTTCCAAGTTGTAATACCGAGGAGACGTAATGCAGACGCTGTGCATGGGTTAATGTGTGGGGAGTGGAGACAACATGCGGGCGGACCCGCCATAACGGAATAGAGTGGTGGTACATGTAAAGGAATCATGGGCAACCGCGTGGTGCTTGGTCAGTGCGCAAAATATTTTGGTTTCAATTCTATCCTGATTGATGGACATCATCAAATTGCATCATGGGTTTCGGACGCGTGGATCCTGGTTGTTTGGCTACTTATGGCATCCTCGGTTTTTCACAGGACCGCCCAAAAACAGAAATTCTATGAATTTGTTCCTAAACATGTACTAAACCATTACCATGTGTAATTATATCATGGCAAAAGTTATAATTAGGACGACACCATACACAATTTGTAATTAGAGAGGTTTTGGTTATATCATGTCTATAAAAAAAAAAAGTTTTGGTTATATTTTGGGATTTCAAACTACTCCATTTACTTAAGTTTGTAATTAATTAGTTCTACACTTCTTATTCTTTAGAAGGCATTTAAAGTTTTTATTTTATTTTATTATTATTTTTTAAAATATATTAAAACAAACACATTTATTTATATATAAATATAATAAATACTTTTTTTTTATCTAACTTAATTCTTTCACATGACTCTTTTTAGGGTTATTGTGTACAAGAGTATGTTTGTCCACTAGCGATTGCCTTCGATTGAGGCTGCTTTTCCCCTCTCAATTTCTTAATTTTGCTCCCTCTCACCTCTAATCTCCTCAGTTCTCCCTTTCTTTTGTTGGTTACTACTTATGATTCTCAAGAAAATGAAGGTAGTGGTTCGAATCTATGGGCAGTGGTTTGGCTTACGTTAGAGGTTAAGTGTAGAGGTGGAGTGTTGGCTAGTGTCAAGGTTGGCACTATTCAGCTGGGTTATAGGGTGGATGTCGCGATAGATGTTAGTTGGGCATAAGTAGGGCTAGATGGTGGCATGGATATGATTGGCGAAGGCGGAAAGCAGAGGTGGATGATGGAGTGGCAAGTCGACCAGGGAAGGAGTCTAGATATTTTGCCCTTAAAGGGGGAAAAAAATTTATAGTGCCTGACTTATTGTCAGCACATGTTAGGTGCTATAGATTTTTTTGATCCAACGACATTTTAAGATGGTGGATCAAAGGCCCCTACATTTAAAAAAAAAATGAAAAATTTAATTTAAAATTTTTTAGTTGAATATGTAAAATATGAGTTGAAGAAAATAATATTGGTGAGATTTTAAAGAAGCTCTATATATTAGAAAGAAGATGTTAAATTAGAAGTTTTATTTGAGAATTAAATATATAAAATGTAAATTTATATAAAATAATATTAATTATGATAATGTAGAATTAAAGTGAGTTTTTTTATTATTATTATCTATTGTACATGCCCTAAAGAGGCAAAAAAAAATTTTTGTCTCGATTCTATTTTTAAAGAGAACAATGAACGAAAAAAAAGGAAAGAGAAAGATTTTTCGACCAAATTATCAGGAGCTCATGAAGTTGGTTGAAGATGGATCTTTGCCTATCGGACTCTAGGTAAAGAAAGACATAAAAGGGGCAAAATTGCATAGATTGTGATGTTTAGGAATTTATCTACTCTAAAAAAAATCTAAAGACTCAATTGAAAACATAAAATCAATTCGAGGACTTTAACGCTCTACGGATAAAAGATGGAGAGAACAAAACAGACAACAGTGTGACAGAGAAATCACGTGCACCACCGACGAAACCAACGACCTCCCAACACCGAAAGATCACCACCGCAATCCCCTTGTCGGAAACTAGATCTACGGCTCTCACATCCCCCACATTGCTCAATCCCATTGGCCACGTCTCGCGTCAACTTTTCTACCCCTCTCCCATTGGACCACGTTGCGCGATATCCACGGCTCGCCAGTCTCTGACATCATTATTTTAATAAAATAAAATATCATATCTGGTCCTTAAATGCCGATCGTGGCAAGCGGCAGAGGACACAGTTGTCGCATCCTCACAGCAAAATCTCCTCAGAGAAACGACACTCTCCATATCTCCGTCTTCGTCTTCCAAATTTCTAAAATTTTCCAAAAATTAAATACCAAAATCAAAGGTAAATATAATAAAATTACTCTCATTTTGGACTCTACTGCTGTTTTTTTCATTACGTTTTTCTTTGTAATTTTGTCCTTTCTAATTTCCATTTTCGCCACTTATTTTATATTATCTTCTTAAATTTTTGGTTTTGTGTTTCTGAATGAAAGTTTTTAGATTTAGTTACGGATTATGATTTGGAGAAATGGGTCAGTGTCTGATTCTATAGATGTGTTTGATTTTTTGCTGTTTTATGGCTACGAACTTGGTATTGTAGCATGGGAGGCAGTGAGCTTGGAGTGTAGACACATGTTATCTGTTCATTAGTTTTTAGTTTTGATTGTACTTGTTTTTGTTTTTCTGGAGCTGAATTTCAGCAAGGTATGACAAAAAAACACTTTGAGATTCTATGTTATCTGCATAAATTGGAGGGTAGTGCAGAACAAATTGTTTGCTTATTGTTTTGATTGAGTATCTTGTAGTGCCAGTTCTTGAATTCTTGAAATTTTGGCACCTAACATGAAAAAGTCTTGATTTTGAATGACTCCCATAATTTTGAAGACCCATCTGGGTTTTTGATGTTTATCGTTTATCCTTCCATTTTAGAAACCTTGGTATTGGGTTTGGACTTTGGTGGTTGTTACTTGTTTCTATGACAGTTGAGGTTTTATTTCAAGTTAGTTACTTAATTTGATATTTATTGTTTTTGAATTTTATTATTATGTATGTTTGTCCATAATTGGAAAGTAGAAAGAATGTTGTGTATATAGTGTATGATTCACTCACAGTTTATTGGTTTGGTGGCTGTCAATTAGATTTTAAGTTAAAGGAAAGGAAGGTAAGTAACGTGCTTATCTGATCTACCTTAATTGGATGGCTATATAGGACATATTTGATTTGGGTCAACCTTTGTGCTGCTTGATGCAATATATTGGATCACAAATGAATTTCAAGGGCTTTGGTGATATGCCAAGTATGGATGGAAGCGGCTCAAAACCACTGGGGAATTTCCCATTGGCTAGGCAGTCATCAATATATTCAATGACCTTTGGTGAGTTGCAAACCATGGGTGGACTGGGGAAGGATTTTGGGTCAATGAACATGGATGAGCTCCTGAAGAATATATGGACTGCTGAGGAGACTCAGGGCATGATGACAGCTTCAGCAGCTGCAGGAGAAGGAGTTGCTGCCGGTGGGAATTTGCAGAGGCAAGGATCATTAACATTGCCGCGAACACTGAGTCAGAAAACTGTGGATGAAGTTTGGAGAGACTTGATGAAAGGAAGTGGGGATGTCAAAGATGGAAGTAGTGGTGGCGGAGGACCAAATTTGCCGCAGAGGCAACAGACCTTGGGAGAGATGACTTTGGAGGAGTTCTTGGTGAGGGCAGGTGTTGTAAGAGAGGATCTTCAACAACAGATTGGAATACCAACTAGTAGTGGATTCTTTGGTGATTTGTCACAGCAAAGTAATCACACTGGTCTAGTTCTTGGGTTTCAACAAACAAATCAGAACAATGGCTTGTTGGTTGGCAATAATTCAGTCCTTAATCAGCCACCTAGATTAGCACTGAATGTGGGTGATGTCAAATCCATGCACCAGCGGCAACCACCACAACAACAGCAACAGCAGCAGCCACAGCTGCCCTTCCCCAAGCAAGCAAATGGGGCGTTTGCCCCTCCTATCCATTTAGTAAACACCACTCAACTTGCAAGTCCAGGAACAAGGGGTTCGATGGTTGGGATTGGAGACCTGCCAATGGACAATAAATTAGTTCAGTCTGGTGGCCTGCAGAATGGAGGGATGGGCATTGCCGGGCTGGGATCTCCTGCAAGCAAGATATCTCATAATGTCATTCCAAAGAGTAACATGGATACCTCTTCTTTATCCCCGGTTCCTTACATGTTTGGCCGGGGAAGAAAATGCAGTGCAGCTTTGGAGAAAGTAGTTGAAAGAAGGCAGAGGAGAATGATTAAAAACAGAGAGTCTGCTGCAAGGTCGCGAGCTCGTAAGCAGGTGAGTATGACGTTTGATACATTGAACATTTTTTTATTTTTAACTATTAGATATTATTCCTTCTGTTTTTCATTTCATATTGCAAGATTGAACTCGTGTAAAGCAATGACATGGATCCATGCGCATATCTGTGGTTGCATCACGCCATAAAATTATACTTTCCAGTTTGTTCTTTCTTTTTCTGCTGAAACTGCTGATTAAAGAGGTTTAGGCGTATGGAATTGCTTCATTTTTTTAAGGTTTATTTTCTACTACAAAGTACAGAAACAAAATAGTTCATCAAAATAAAAAGCAAGGCCGAAGCAAAGATACTGTAGTTTGCACTGTGCTACATCATCCTTTTGGTAGAAGGAACCATTAATATTTCATAGATTCACAAATTGTCCAAGTAATGAGTTGAGAAAGTTGTACTGAAAATGAGTTTAGGAAGTTGATGCAGCTCTTGCTTAAAAGAAATTTCAAATAGAGGACTAGAAGAAATTATGGCCTTTTACATCTTTTGGTTTCCTGGTTTTGTAGTAAGAATGAACGTGACAACACGTGTTTGTTGCTAGAAGCTATGGTAATTACTCATCCTTAGATTACATGTTAGGTTTCAACATTACATGCAATTACAAGATTTCTCAGTCCATTTTCATACTCCAGCTGTGTGAAGGAACTAGAGCAGGCAAACAATGTGATGCTGGAGCACAAAGTGAAAATTTTATGACCCTGGAAGTCTTAATTTATTAACTTCATTACTCGCTTGTCTGCCTTTAGAAGTAACCTTGATAAAGTGGTTTACTCAGTACAGTTTTGCCAAAGAATTAGAGAAATATGCTTGTATGTTGGACTTTTGTCAGCCTGGAGGTTTTGGTTTATTTGTTTCGTCCTGAGTTCTGAAAAACGCCTGAGCTGAAAACACGTTACACTCTGTGACATATCATGTGCAAAATAAGAATATGGAATAATTTCATATCAATTGGTTGGTCTGTATTCATCTGATGTTAGTATTTTTTTTTTCCTTTGTGCCTTTTCAGATTTATATACTCCACTCACTGGACCATTGAATTCAATGTTTTCTAATAGAACCCAGTTAATGTTACTTATTGGATCTTTGGCAGGCTTATACCTTGGAATTGGAAACAGAACTTGCAAAACTTAAAGAATTGAACGAAGAATTACAGAGGAAGCAGGTAATAACCAAGATCAGTTTTTTTTTTTTTTTCATTGAAAAACTCAGTTGGATAATCCTCTTTGACTGAACTTTTCTTGGTGCAGGAGGAAATGATGGAAATGCAGAAAAGTCAGGTATATGTTGTTTCACTTTCACATACTATCATCTTACATTTTATATTGGCATTCAAATAAGTAACAAACCCTTTAGTTTAGCTCCGTTGCCTAAATTCAAGCATTTTTTATTTCGCAATTGAAAGCATAACAAAATACATGTTTTGACCATGGTGTTTCTGACAGTATGAAGATAGGAAATATTTTTTTTGTTATCATGTGTACATAAAAAAGTTAGGTGTTTATTAGCCCAACAATACAATCAGTGCTGTTTTTCTAAGTCAAGACAGACACAGTTGAGATTATTTCTCTTTGGTTCGTTGACTTTCCTCACTTGCCTTGTCCTCTTTCTCGTTTAATCTGAAACAAGAGATGAATGCTAATGTTTCTCGATCAAATCAGCTGTTCTTATTACCTTTTGCTTTCTGCTGCCTGATTTTTCAGATACTGGAGAAATTTTGTCTTCCATGGGGAGGCAAAAGGCAATGCCTGAGAAGAACACTCACAGGACCTTGGTAGATTACAAGTTTGTATGGTAGAAACAGCAGTTAGTTATGCAATCTTGGCCAATGGTATGGCACAGGAATTGGATGTCCCTATATCATTGACATTTTATACTGAAGAGTTTAGGTGACCTGAATGTGTATAGTAGCAGACGGTGTTGCTGTAAATTATGAACCGAAATCAGAATTGTACTCTTTAAATTAGACTCTTCTGTTATTGGGCTTTGTTCTACCTGCTTAGTATTATTATGGACCAAAGGTTTTGAATATGCATTTTCTATGTAGATTGTCTTTGTTCTGCCTTTTTCTTACTCCTCTGATTTGAAAATCTCTGGAAGGCTTGTGCATATCTGCACGGTTCCAGAATTTCCTGAAAGATGTGGCTAGACAGTTATTTGATTAGTACCTTTTTTTAGAACTAACTACAATTATTTACATAAAAGATTATGATTCCTGGTGTTTACCACTTAAAAAGGAACTGAGCTTTATGTTATTGACTTAGAGGTCAGAAATTTTATTAATATTCCTGTACAAATTCTTTTAAAATGTGATCAAATTAAAGAAGAATCTTTTGCAAGGCAAGGCAAAGAGAAAAAAAAGCCAAATTTTCTATTCACATTTTATATATTATTTTTTTATAACTATTATTTTTATAACTTTTATTTTCAATTAATACTTTTCATAATTTGAAATTTATAAAAAAATTTAAATTATTAATAAAGTTATGGTGCAAATAAAGAGTTTAATTATTAATTTTTTAGTTTCTTTACAAGTTTTAAATTATATAGAGTATTGATCGTAGAAAAAAAAGAATGTGTACAATGTAAATTGGAGATGTGCCCAAAAAAAGGAAAAATCAATGGAGAATCTAGAATTTCTGGTGGAGATAAAGAATGATTGTCAGTGCATTGTTTTAACACTCGTCGGATGGAATCATTCTTGGCTGAGGGAAACCATCACCATTGGCAGTGCTTAAAAGTTAAAACATTCTCCTTCTGGGATTAGAGACCTTCGCAAGATCGTGGCAGGGCAGAAAGTGAAATATGCTGACAATGGAGAAAAGCAAAAATACTAAATTGCAGAGCCAAGCTATGTTAATGCATGACCAAAAATCTAACCATATTTCATTAGGGACCAACCAGCATGGCCTGCTGATCCATTCCCCAAACCTGAGTGCTTGAAGGCTTCAAAGTCTTGAGTTCAACTCAGGCAAATGACTCTCTTCAATCAATTTCCCAAAATGGAAAAAAAGTTTGATTCATTATGAGCTCAGGGTTAATCCTTGGTG